GGGTTGCGATCCATTGCCGGACACGAAAAAAGACAAAAAGGAAAAATATATATATATATATATTTTAGTGTATAGTGGAAAGAGCTCAGAACTGGGATTGATCTTAGCTCTGCCATACACTAGTCTCATGATCTTAGTCAAGCTACTTAAACGCTATGCCTCAGGTTCCCCATGTGTAAAACAGAACTAATAATATCTGTTTGCAGAATCATTATAAGGATTCACAATTATGCCTGTGAAGTCCTGAGCATAGTATCTGAAATCACTGTAAATAATATTTCTATTATATTCTGCCCTTATCTAGTGTTGTAGAATAGTCCACTGATCATCTTGACAGGTGACGTGCCCTTTCCTTCATCTTTACAGAAATTCCTCCAGCCAAAAGTCAGATCATGAAAACTAAGCAGAACTAACACGTGAATGTTACACTTGATTTCTGTGCTGGAATCTGTGACTAGGATTTTTTTTTCTTACCTTTTGGGATCCTCGAAGGTAAGCCAGGAGTGTTCGGCACATGGGTAAGAGGATAAGGCTGCAGTTGAGGTTAAGAACAGATGCAGAGGCTCTGCTTAGACACAATCCTAGCTGAACAAATAAGGCAAAAATCAAAACACAATCAAGGACAAGTAAATGACAAATAGCCCTAACCTGGACCTACATGCTGCAAATCTTACCCTGTCTCTCCTTTAAGGATCATAGCAAATTCTAACTCCTTCAAGAGTCTTGAATAACCATCCCTTTTCCTCTCTTCAAAAAAAAAAAAAAAAAAAAAAAAAAAACCAAAAAAACCCCAAAAAAACACCTAAGAACAACTGGTGGTTTCTCTGTGCTTTGCAATGCCATAAAATTTAGTACTCCTCTCATTTCTGCAAGTGCTATAATCACCTGAGTACATTCTTCCAACTCAAGGTTCATTTCATGTTCCGCCCCCATCCTACAGTTCTGAGAGTCTCAGCATGTTCTGCACCACTATTGTGTTCTGTTGGATACTTTGTTCACTGATAAAGTCACAGAGTTTTAAGCAAAGCTTTTTCATTTGTTTTCTCTCTCTCTGGAACTCCCCCAGTTCCCACACAACCCACCGCCATCCCACTGCCTGCTCTGAGCTCTTCACCTCACTAACTCTACACATCCTTAAGTTTCATCTTAAGCACTACTCCCTAGAGTTCTTCTCTGACTCCAAACTAGGAGAGATCCCACTGTTAAAGATAAAGGCTCTCATTGCTTTTTGTATTTCCCTCATTATAATGCCTTCTAACACTTTTTCCAATCTTCTTAAATTTTATTTTATGTTTCATTAACAAATAATAATTATATACATTTATGGGGTACAATGTAATGTTTTGATTTATGGGTACATTGTAGAAAGGTTCAATCAAGCTAATCAGTATATCCATCACCTCACCAACTTACCCTTTTTTTTGTGGTAAGAACATTAAAAATCTATTCTTTTAGCAATTTAGAAATATACAACACATTATTATTAAGTGCGGTCACCATGCATGCAATAGATCACTAAAACTCATTCCTCCAATCTAACTGAAACTTCATACCCTTTGATCAACATCTTTCCTGTCCTTATTCACACACACACCCCAGCCTCTGGTAGCCACCATTCTACTCTTTAATTCCATGAGTTCAACTTCATATTCAAAGTATATGTGAGAACATGCAGTATTTCTTTCTGCACCTCCCTTATTTCACTCAGCATATTATTCTCTATGTTTATCCATATTGTCACAAATGACCAATCTTAAATAATTAGGTGCCTTGGAAAACAGATTCATATGTTTGAATATATCTTGGGAGCAAGGTATATCAGTTTTTTGAGCACCATTTTCATTCGATGATAACTAGTTTAGAGCATTATCACCATATTAAAACAAATGAAGAACATTATGGAATAGGATGCAAAGATGTTAGCAAACACATGCTTATCTCTTATTATTGGCCAAACACAGTTCAGTGTACTTTATATCTATTAATATACTAAGCCTACTCCTGCAACTCTAGCGAATAATTAATATTATTATCATCCCTCCTATATAGGGGAGAATATTGAGACATAGTGAAGTCAAGAATTAACCCAACATAAAACAACTAAGAAATGGTGCAGCCAGAATGCAAACCCAGAGATTCTGGCTCAAGCATCTATGCTATTAACCACCACTTTATACTGTCTCTTTTAAGTGGCTTTTTAAAAAATATCCAGAAGGCACATAGTAAGTAAAAAATAATGTTTTGAATGACTCTTTTAATGAACATTTGACGTAAGCAGTTTTATAGACAACTACCCTCTTAATAAGATAAGACTTTCCTCTTAATACCCCTCTCCATCCCCAGGAAGGATATTATGGTTGTGCTTTTATCACTAAAGAAACTCGAGGTATACATATTTGAGAAGTACTAGAGAAGGTCACAACCAAATGTTCATAAAGGAGTGCCTACACAGTGTGTTGGGATTCCTAGCACACTTATTCTCTGTTACTTCCATTTAGTATGTGACATGTTACTGTGAACTTTTATGTTTTGTCCTACTTCTCTAGGTAAATGGTAAACCCTTCAGGAGCAGGATAAATATTTCTAAAATGCTAAAGCATCTTATATGACCTTACATTTTATTTCAATTCTCACTTTATCAATTGCCTTTGAATATATTTTTAATGTAATTCTCAGACCAAGTCTGAAAGATAGGCTGAGTAGATGGTATTATTGTCAGTTCAGAGATGAAGAGGTGTTACAAAATAATAATAATTAGGTCCACAATTAGAAATTCTGAATTCAATGGCTTGCTTGGGGTAGTGCCTGGATACCAAAATTTAGAAAGCTTCCCAGATGATTCTAATATGGAATCAGGGTTGAGAACCACTATCTTAAGCTATTTAGCTGAATTGTTCTGTTTACTCTATAAGTGATGAAACAATGGTCACCATTAAATTATAATAAGCAAATGTAATTGCGTATTTCCTAACTCACTGGCTAAATTTAGCTTTAAAAAATAGTTAACTTTTATGTTAAAAATACAAAAGTAAATATTTTAAATAAGCATAAATGAAAACAAAGCAACAACAACAAAGATCTTTTCTACGGGAAGCTGACATGATAGGGTACAACAGACAGCTTACCATTTCTTTGTTATCTAATATGGAAGATGCACTAGGGTAAGTGCTTTTAATGAACACACAAAATCTTTTCAAAAACCTTGCAAGGTAAAAATGATTGCATCCATTATACAGATGAGTTATGTAAGAACCTGAGAGATTGAATACCTTACCCAAAGTGAGAAAACTAGTAGGAGAATAATTCAGCACCCTGGACTGTATACTTCTTTTCATCTCATTGTTAAAAGCAAGGTCAAAAAAAAAAAATGGCACTCAAGGGTATGGAAGGAAGATTAAACTAAGAGAGGTGAGAAAATCTTGCTCCAGTAGCTCCCACGGGCCATATACATTATGGCTTAGTTGTCAGTAGACTGCACTAGTCAAGCCAAGGTCTTGGGTTTCATCTCCCATGAAGCCAAATTGCTTCACTTCCCTGCTTGGTGATGAGTTATCCCTCTAGCCATAGCCAGCACCATTTCCTCTTCAGTTGGTATATTCATAAATGTGTTTGTCTGATTAGGCTTCAAACTTCTCTGAGTTGCTGCTATGCATTGCCTTGTTCTTTACATATTCCCACAAAACCAGTCCCTAGAGAGCCAGACATTCCCCAAGTACCTCAATCGCTCATTATTTCTGCCTCTCAACTCTATGATCTAGGCCTATAGAAACTGGGTTACTCCTTTTCATTCTTTCTTAACACTCAGATTGTAAATTTCTCAAAGGCTGAGTCCTGTCTTTACAGCTTTGTATCCTCAACCCTCACACAGTGGCAGGATTCAGTAAATGTTGAACTGAACTGAATCTTTAAACACATGTACCATGCGTTGATCACCATTTTATTTGGTTACAACTCTAAACTTGACTAATATATTTATTGTCTTCATGGTAAATTTATTCATGAAGCTTGTATGTCTACAAATAATTTTACAATGGTTGGTTCACAATGTCATGGAAAAGCATTATAAGGT